CATCAACACAACTACGTCAACCGTAATAAGTTTGAATATATACAAAAATCAAAGACATTTTCTAAAAATGCACGATCTAAAATTATTGTTCAAAAATCCATGATTTTGGTAGAAAAAAAAATAAAAATATCATGGCAACTCTTAACAATATTCACCGAAGACTTGTTTTCTGTTATACGACCCGGCTCACTTATCACTTTTAGTGTCTAGATCAACAGAAGACATAAAAAAATTAATGATGATGAGTCCATGGGGTGGGGATAGATCAGGTCATGTGAGAGTTTTTTTTTTTTCTTTTCAATATTGCATTATCATCACAACCGCGATGGTTATTCAACTTGAAATGGGTGGGTGGGGTGCAATATGTGTAAGTATGCAAAGATGTCGCCACAACGGACATTTAAAGGCCTTAAAATAAAATATTAAAAAAACAATCTGTTATCTCAAAAACCGCTTATCCAGATTTGACTGTATAAAATATTAAAAATTAAAAAAATCTGTTTGTTGTTTTAAATTAGCGGAATTTTAAAACGCGATCCAATTCCAGTTGTATGCTAAGAATATTTCAAAACAAACTCACTTACCTATTCAAAATTTGGGATCAATCACAATAAATTAGGTCATTGTATTCTAAATGGGAATTTGAATAAAAGCTTGTATGAAATAAATTCGAATTTAAATATAGATTTGTTCCGGGCATCATGTCATATTCGTGAGAAGAGGGTATCAAGTGTTGGGTGTTGATAAGAGATTATTTATATCGGAAAAAAAATCCACGCCTTGTTTGGCTGGCTACTCGAAAAAATATTCTTTAAAAAATCCACGCCTTGTTTGGCTGGCTACTCGAAAAAATATTCTTTAAAAAATCCACGCCTTGTTTGGCTGGCTACTCGAAAAAATATTCTTTAAAAAATCCACGCCTTGTTTGGCTGGCTACTCGAAAAAATATTCTTTAAAAAATCCACGCCTTGTTTGGCTGGCTACTCGAAAAAATATTCTTTAAAAAATCCACGCCTTGTTTGGCTGGCTACTCGAAAAAATATTCTTTAAAAAATCCACGCCTTGTTTGGCTGGCTACTCGAAAAAATATTCTTTAAAAAATCCACGCCTTGTTTGGCTGGCTACTCGAAAAAATATTCTTTAAAAAATCCACGCCTTGTTTGGCTGGCTACTCGAAAAAATATTCTTTAAAAAATCCACGCCTTGTTTGGCTGGCTACTCGAAAAAATATTCTTTAAAAAATCCACGCCTTGTTTGGCTGGCTACTCGAAAAAATATTCTTTAAAAAATCCACGCCTTGTTTGGCTGGCTACTCGAAAAAATATTCTTTAAAAAATCCACGCCTTGTTTGGCTGGCTACTGAAAAAATATTCTTTAAAAAATCCACGCCTAGGGTGATTTATTTTCCTGAACCTCCACATAAGAGCGTTGCCATATTTTGAGTCAACTCTCTTTTTGCTACAACTTCTCCTTCATCCGTTTAACAAACAAGAATAACAACAACAAAAGTAATGAGGACATTGAATTCATTTCAATTTGGGGATGAGGATGCGAAGCAATGAACAAAACAAAAACAGCGTTAGCTCCGATTTTTTGTTATCAACAAGCTACATATTAAAGATAAGCGGTAGGAGCAGTCGTCCAGCTAGGCAGCAGGCAAACAAACAATAGGCGCGACCGGTATGTCATCTTTAACGACATCAAATGAGGACATAACAGCAACAACCGCATCAACACAACGAAGAGGTTATTTTTTATGTCAAAATCACAATATATTCTGAATTTGATTATTAAAATTTAATGGCCACAGATTCCGATTCCATACTTCGACTAAACGATGATTGTCTAGAATTGATTTGCAAACAATTGAACACGGTGGAACAATTTATTCTATGGAAATTGCACGAACGTTTCGAGCTAATCGTTGAGCATTTATGGTTGTCGGGAGGTGCGGGTTTACACACTGTCCAAGTGTATGATCAACAGGTTTCCCTGCTTAACGATAAAGAATTTATGGAATTCATGCGTATCCTTAGCCAACATACCGCCAACTTATCACTGCATTATTTGCGGAAGGAACGTTTCGAACAATTAATCACGTTGCGCTTTCCAAAAGTCACCATTCTCAAGTGTATCGATCCATTCGAACAGCATCGTAATCAGGCGGCACGGTATGGGCTCGAGGCGCTGCGTGTGCTACAGAATTGTTTTCCCAACATCCAAGAATTGGAATTGAAAGGTTATCATGTGCGGTATTGTCGTGATATTTTTGCCATTGGTGGCGGTAATTTAAAACGTTTAGAATTGAAAATTCTTTAAGTGCCTGGGCAGGCATGCGGCAGTTATCTGTGAAAGTCATTTGTCATATTTTTTCTTGTTTTATTTTTTGGTAAATATTCTTTATTTAAATGTAATTAAATTTTATTAAAGATAAGTGTTGTATTATTATTTGGTATTTCTATATTATGTATGTACAGTGTTTAATAAAAATTATATGTTTTTTGTTAATAAAAATTCCTATACTAAGTTGAAAATGTGAATTTCAGTACTCCAGGTGGATTTGAGTCTTGTGCAGATTGTTTGAAATCCAATTTGAGAAAACGATTGTTGTACATGTAACGAGGATCCTAGAAAGAAAAATAAAAGAATATTAATCGTCAAAAAATATGTTAAAAAATAAGGACCTTAGAGGTCCTTAGAAAAATATTCTTTTAAAATCCAGGACATAGAGGTTCTTGGAAAAATATTGTTTTAAAAATCCAGGCCATAAAGGTCCCTAGAAAAATATCAATTTAAAAATCCAGGCCATAAAGGTCCCTAAAAAATATCAATTTAAAAATCCAGGCCATAAAGGTCCCTAGAAAAATATTATTTTTAAAATCCACACCTTAGAGGTTTTTAGAAATATAATCTTTAAAAAATCCACACCTAGAGGTTTTTAGAAATATAATCTTTAAAAAATCCACGCCTTAGAGGTTTTTAGAAATATAATCTTAAAAAATCCACGCCTTAGAGGTTTTTAGAAATATAATCTTAAAAAAATCCACGCCTTAGAGGTTTTTAGAAATATAATCTTAAAAAATCCACGCCTTAGAGGTCCTTAGAAATATAATCTTTAAAAAATACACGCCTTAGAGGTTTTTAGAAATATAATCTTTAAAAAATCCACGCCTTATAGGTCCTTAGAAATATAATCTTTAAAAAATCCACGCCTTAGAGGTCCTTAGAAAAATATTCGTTTTTCAAATCCACGCCTTAGAGGTCCTTAGAAAAATATTCCTTTTTAACACTAGAACGCCGAAGGCGGTCATTTTGGCCGCTTTCCAATTTCAAGTACAAAAGCAACTGCGCATTTAATGACACTTTTTTTAAAATATGGTGACTTTTTGTATTACGTTTATTATAAAAAATTCACCAAATTTAAAAAAAAGTGTCATTAAATGCACAGTTGCTTTTGTACTTGAAATTGGAAAGCGGTCAAAATGACCGCCTTCGGCGTTCTAGTGTTAAATCCACGCCTTAGAGGTCCTTAGAAAAATATTCATTTTAAAAATCCACATCTTAGAGGTCCTTAGAAAAATCTTCTTTTAAAAAAGGACCTTAGAAAAGTTGTTTTTTTTTTTTTTGAAAATCCACGACTTAAAGGACCTTAGAAAAGTATTCTTTAAAAATCCACGCGTTAGAGGTCCTTAGAAAAGTTGTTTTTTTTTTTTTGAAAATCCACGACTTAAAGGACCTTAGAAAAGTATTCTTTAAAAATCCACGCGTTAGAGGTCCTTAGAAAAGTATTCTTTAAAAAATCCACGCCTTAGAGGTCCTTAGAAAAATATCAATTTCACAAAATCTTTTAACAAATATTCTTTAAAAAATCAAAAAAAAAACATATTATCGTACCTCCAATATCGATTTATCAATAAATGTATCCTTGAGCCACATTTCCAAAGTGTGTGTACGCCACTTTTGTTTCTTTATCATTTCCATGCAACGCCATATCACCGATTCGCTAATGCCCTTACGGCAATGGGTTAAATTGATCAATTTCAATTTACGACAATTCTGTACAAAACTCAGCACGCCACGATCACTTTCCAAATCACAGGAACACAAATGGATCTCCTCCAAATCGGCAAATTGTTTACTCATTTGCAGCAGCATATGATCACGTATCCCCTCAATGTCATAGCCACGACATTCATAAAATGAGAGTTTCTTTAAAAATCGCATATGATTCAATTCACGAAAGAATCTTTCGAAATTATGCAATACTCCATTGAATTTAAAAGCTTCGATTTGTTTGAGGTTAGTCCTCGAAATCCTTTCCAAAACATCAAAAACAAAATTTTTGGAATAAATTGAAAGTTTCTTTAGGTTTGGCATCCGCAAGATATCATTAATGATATCCGTATCGAAACACAAATGATAATCGGCAATTTTTATGTGTTCGAAAGTGGGACATTTTTTCAATTCGATTAGATCGCAACAATTGATTTCATCACAGTCTTCCATTATGTCGAATTTACGTAACTTCAGCTCTTGAAATACTTCTTGGAAATTATCCGATTCCAGACACTGGCAATCATCCAAGGAGAGGTGTTTCAGGGATGATAACTGTGCCAAATATTTGCCAGTTATTTGACAACCTCGTAACTTGAGTACTTTCAGTTTGGGAAATATTCTGGTCAATAGATTGAGATCTTCATCTAGAAATTGTTGTTCACGATCACCCGATTCGGACAATTCTTCATCACCAATATCCAACACATAACCACGGGCACCTCCTTCACCCATCCAAATGAAAGTTTCGGTACGATTAAATGTCAGATCGTTGAGAAGGCGTAAATATTTAATATCACAATGACGCATTATCAAGCTCTGCATATGCGGACCAACTTCTTGAATGAAGCCAATGAAAGTTGTTTCGTCAACGCTCTCCAATAATTCAGGATATATGGCTATGTGATTTAGTTTGCAACGCCATTGAGATTTGACAATTTGTTTGAAACGGGTGTGTAATTTGGAGATTTGATATTGTTGCATTACATCCAGACGCCTTACAATCATGCCCAAACAGTCATCGTTTAAATCCATTATATGGGGTTTAGCAACTTGACACAATTCTGCAAAAAAAGGAGTTAAATTTCATTTATAGTTTTTTATTATTTAAAATTCCACCTACCTTTTGACGTCACCATTTTCTTCCTTTATTTTTTTCTGAATACTGCAGCTGAGTCCTTTTTATGTTTCTCGCCTGATTATTTTAAATCCAATGACCAAGAGGATGATTTCTAATTATTTCCTTCTTTGTTGCCTGGTTTGTTTTTGTTGTTCTTTTTAAATGAAATGACGTCGTATTTGTTATTGTTTTGCTTGTTCTCTGTGTGTTTTTTCTACCTACAGTGGCTGCTCTCTCATGCACTCTCTCTCACGTACTCTCCGATCCAAACAAATCGATTGTTATTGCTTTGGCTGGGGGTAAATTGTATAGTTTTTTCCAGTTTTGCCATTAAAATTCAATTTGAAGATAAAACTCTTGCTTCCAGTAGTTTCCAGACAACTGTCTGTGCCAAAATAATTTCAATTTCCACCCCAAAAATACAAAAAATGATTTGAATGCAACCAGAGAAATAGAAAAACAATAACAAATGTTAAGATGGCAGAGAGCCTTGACAGAGAACAATAACAGCGTTCTTCTTCTTGTTTTGCTATTAATAACAAGGCACTCACTATGGATTGATAGCAGGGAAATTTTAAATGGTGGAATTTAATTGATAGCAAAAAGGAAAATGGTATATTTTTTAAATAATTAATTAAAATTAAGAACAATTATTTTATTTAAAGTATTAAATTAAATTACAAAAATATAAATAAAAAATGTACAAATAAACTAACCTATATAAACCTTAAACCCCTCGGAAGTACAACCTAATAGAAAATTGTATATTCTGAAATGAGGGAAAACAACCACATAACCGTTATTTTGAAAAATAAACGGAGCTATTTGGATGTTAAAAAATATTTAAAAAATACACTCCCTAGAAAATCCACGCATTTTTCGAGTAGCCAACCAACGAGATTTTTTAAAGAATATTTTTTTGAGTAGCCAACCAAACAAGGCGTGGATTTTTTAAAAATATTTGTTCGAGTAGCCAACCAAACAAGGCATGGATTTTTTTAAAGAATATTTTTTCGAGTAGCCAACCAAGGATTTTTTAAAGAATATTTTTTCGAGTAGCTAGCCAAACAAGGCGTGGATTTTTTAAAGAATATTTTTTCGAGTAGCCAACCAGACAAGGCGTGGATTTTTTAAAGAATATTTTTTCGAGTAGCCAACCAAACAAGGCGTGGATTTTTTAAAGAATATTTTTTCGAGTAGCCAACCAAACAAGGCGTGGATTTTTTAAAGAATATTTTTTCGAGTAGCCAACCAAACAAGGCGTGGATTTTTTAAAGAATATTTTTTCGAGTAGCCAACCAAACAAGGCGTGGATTTTTTAAAGAATATTTTTTCGAGTAGCCAACAAAACAAGGCGTGGATTTTTTAAAGAATATTTTTTCGAATAGCCAACCAAACAAGGCGTGGATTTTTTAAAGAATATTTTTTCGAATAGCCAACCAAACAAGGCGTGGATTTTTTAAAGAATATTTTTTCGAATAGCCAACCAAACAAGGCGTGGATTTTTTAAAGAATATTTTTTCGAATAGCCAACCAAACAAGGCGTGGATTTTTTAAAGAATATTTTTTCGAGTAGCCAACCAAACAAGGCTTGGATTTTTTAAAGAATATTTTTTCGAGTAGCCAACCAAACAAGGCTTGGATTTTTTAAAGAATATTTTTTCGAGTAGCCAACCAAACAAGGCTTGGATTTTTTAAAGAATATTTTTTCGAGTAGCCAACCAAACAAGGCGTGGATTTTTTAAAGAATATTTTTTCGAGTAGCCAACCAAACAAGGCGTGGATTTTTTAAAGAATATTTTTTCGAGTAGTCAACCAAACAAGGCGTGGATTTTTTAAAGAATATTTTTTCGAGTAGCCAACCAAACAAGGCGTGGATTTTTTAAAGTATATTTTTTCGAGTAGCCAACCAAACAAGGCGTGGATTTTTTAAAGAATATTTTAAAAAAATATTTCGTGGATTTAAAAAAATATTTCGAGTAGCCAGCCAAACAAGGCGTGGATTTAAAAAAATATTTCGAGTAGCCAGCCAAACAAGGCGTGGATTTTTTAAAGAATATTTTAAAAAAATATTTCGTGGATTTAAAAAAATATTTCGAGTAGCCAGCCAAACAAGGCGTGGATTTAAAAAAATATTTCGAGTAGCCAGCCAAACAAGGCGTGGATTTAAAAAAATATTTCGAGTAGCCAGCCAAACAAGGCGTGGATTTAAAAAAATATTTCGAGTAGCCAGCCAAACAAGGCGTGGATTTAAAAAAATATTTCGAGTAGCCAGCCAAACAAGGCGTGGATTTAAAAAAATATTTCGAGTAGCCAGCCAAACAAGGCGTGGATTTAAAAAAATATTTCGAGTAGCCAACAAGGCGTGGATTTAAAAAAATATTTCGAGTAGCCAACAAGGCGTGGATTTAAAAAAATATTTCGAGTAGCCAGCCAAACAAGGCGCACAGTGTCACGACCGCGGCCAAAAATGGTCAAAACCAAGTACCACGGAGGACAAATTTTTTGATGAGGATTGATAGAAAACACTCCAATTAGAATAAATATGAAATTTTATATCGATATGTCAAGTAGTTTTGTCTCTACAAGAGTTCAAATCTGATAATTATTTATAAACTGATTTTTTACCATATTTTCGAAAAATGGGTGTGTTTTTCTGATGCTCAAATATTTGAATATTCAAATTAACGGTTATTATAAAAGTGTTTGTTTTGGTTGCTGTGGATGTAAATACTAGGATTCGCTTTAGTTTGTATGTATATATATATCATATGGTGTATACAGTCGTCCACACTTGTGGTACTTAGTTCATCAAATTTTTAAAACAAATTTTGAAATTAGTGGAGCAGAAAAAAAAAGTTTAAAAAAGGTTAGCTCTAATTTTTTTTATTTGAGTGGTGAAAAGTGTGTCATTTAAGGAATAACAAAAATTAGCTGCGGAGTCCTGCGGTCCTAAGAGTTATTTAACTTTTTTGGTGACCACCTTATTAAAAAATATGGCATATTCATGAAATGGTTAGAAGCGAATGGTCAAATATGTTATGTATACAATTAAATAAGTTATTGAGGGTCAAATAGGAAGGAGAATATGTATTCAGAACACAGAGATAATACAAAATTTTACATAAAATATGCAATTAAGTGGTAAAAACGTTATTCGAAGCGAAGATATGGGATAATTGGTTTTAAAATATAGCTTTTAAATAATTTTTCAGTCAGTTTGAGGATTATACTTATTTTTCAGATCATTTGAGACATAATCTTATAATCTAAATTTAGATGTCGCACATGAATTACCTTTGTGGAAAGTTCATACAGAAAAATATTAGTTCATGGCATGGGATATGCAAAGTGCAGTACAATACCTTTTGAGCGACTTTCACAAGATGCTAACAAGTCATGCCAACAAATAATTAGTAACAGCCCGAACTTTTGTTAAAGCCGAGTTAAATAAGGATTTTATTTAGAATTTTATATTACAATCCGACCTTGTAATATCCTTAAACAGCCATAAAGTAAAGGCCCGAGATTATAACGTGGATAATACTAAATCGTACATTTGGGAAGACAATATTTTATACATATCTCTGATGTGTGTTTTGAAAATTTTGAGAATGATAAACAAGTAATTTATTAGTTACTAAAGGATAATAAATATTTATTATATTATAATAAAAATAACAAAAATAAAACTACTATACTTAATTTAGCTGCATATAACGATTTTATAGTACACAGAGTTAAATTTTTGGGGACTTTTGGTATGGTAGGTACCTGAAATATGGGCCAACAACTAAATTATTGGACGAAGACATGAAAATTTTCCTGGAATTTGGATGAATATAAAAAAATTATAGGTCCAAAAAGCGGATTTTCAAGACCCTTTGTATGGGAGGTATATCAAATCTTGGCCCAATCTACCCAGTTTTTGGTCCGTTGCTTTTTAGGCATAAGTAAATGTAAATTGCCAATTTTCATTGAATTTGGTTGAATATTAAAGATTATATAGCCCAAAATATTAAAATTTTCAAGACCCGTTGTATGGGAGGTATATCAAATCTTGGTCCGATCTACCCAGTTTTTGGTCAGTTGCTTTAGAGGCCTAATTAAATGTAAATTGCCAATTTTCATTGAATTTGTTTGAATATTAAAGATTTTATAGGCCAAAAAGGGTGACATTCTCAAGACCCATTGTATGGGAGGTATACGAAATATTGGTCCGATCTATCCAATTTTTTGTCAGTTGCTCTTTAGGCCAATAATAAGCACATGTACCAAATTTTATTAACTTACGATAACTCCTTCTATTTTTGGCCGCTGTTTATATGAACTCGCGACATAGTGAGGCGTGGATTTAAAAAAAAAATATTTCGAGTAGCCAGCCAAACAAGGCGTGGATTTAAAAAAAAAATATTTCGAGGCGTGGATTTAAAAAAAATATATTTCGAGTAGCCATCAAGGCGTGGATTTAAAAAAAATATTTCGAGTAGCCAACAAGGCGTGGATTTAAAAAAAAAAATATTTCGAGTAGCCAACAAGGCGTGGATTAAAAAAAAAAATATTTCGAGTAGCCAACAAGGCGTGGATTTAAAAAAAAATATTTCGAGTAGCCAACTAGGCGTGGATTTAAAAAAAAATATTTCGAGTAGCCAACAAGGCGTGGATTTAAAAAAAATATTTCGAGTAGCCA